CACACACACACACACACACACACACACACACACACACACACACACACACACACACACACACACACACTTTTTTAAATTCTGTCTTCTCTCTGTGTTATCTCTCACCCATTCATTTACTTTGTTGCATGATTTGCTGGCTTTCAAAAGATTCAATTTAATCAACTAATAATCTGAAAACAAAAACACAAACTCACTGTCATTAACAAAGCATATGAGCACGTCAGGGAGACAATATGGAGAGGCTTGGAGAGAAAAAAAGTATTCAAAGAATATGTCCTTTACGATCACGCCATTAAAATGACCAAGGCCAGCACTATACTTCATATAAGCCTAAGGGTACTTACATTTGCTCCTGCTTCAAGAAGAATTCTTGCACAGCCTACATGATCCCCTAGGCAGGCCTCATGCAGTGGAGTGACTTGGTCAATTGTCAGAATATCTACATTGTAGCCCTAAATAAAATATAAGCCATGTACAAGGAAAAATAAAAAACAATTCAAAAGCATGAAGTCTTTTTCTACAATGGGTTGCATACAACACTCTCTATATGATCTCTTCATTTGATAAATTTAGCTTAAGTGAACACAAAAGACTTGAGGCATACATAATCTTCCATCAGCCAATTTAGAAACCACAAGAGAGTTTACTTGTAAAGGTTTGTTTAATGGCTTGAGCCTCAGGTTTGAAATGTGTGGGCTTCCTAACTACCTAAACTTAAACTTCAGAAGAATTCAGCACTTTTGTCTTTTGAGACTGATAAAATAACTGACTTCTGTGCAATTTTCTTAAGATTCTTAAGAACTGATACCCCATCTTTATTGGCTTATACCATACTTTATCCACAGTACAGTGTACCACTCAGACATCCGACTGCCACATAAGTAGTTTGCTAGTTTTCCATTCTGTACCTTTGCTATTGGAAAACATGATTGGTTTGTCTTTATTCTTTTTTATTATTATGGTTGCCATGCATAAGGGTCAACCTCAGTGAGTTTCTCTCAGTAACTCCTGAGGCTTTTTTCCTGATCAATAGACAGGTTGATTGTTCTGTTTAGGCTATACTTCCCCTTGATTAATTCTTTATTCCCTTGTTAAGTTCTAGATCACTGGTTTTCAGTCCTTTTGGACTCAAGGCATCTTTTTGCCTACATTAAAATTACAGAGACATTCTTATGCTGCAAAAATTCAAAGACCACACCAAGTCAGAATATTTCTGACAGTATTGCTATGGACAGACATTACACATAAACTGGTTTAAGTGATCAGAAACTGGTTTAAACCTGTAACAGAACAGATGTTCAGTGCACATAAACCAGTCTGAAAATGAATGAAACCTGTTTGAAATAAATCTGGCTGAATATAGTGTCAAATTTAACTGATTTGGGTAAAACCAGTTTATGCAATGTCTGTCCCAGACCCCTTGCTGGTTTAAGATATCCCAACATGCTTTCCGGGCTGGGCGGGACACTCTGCTTCACAGCAGGGCTGGCCTCTCCGCTCTGCTCCCTGGCTGCAGCTCCAGCAGAGACTTGCAGGCACAGCAACAGCTGCTTGGCTTCCTCCTGCTTTCCACTTCCCCCCACCACTTCCTGCTAAGCAGCCACCCCCCATCCCCTCTGCCTTGCACAGACACCTCAGCATTAGCTAGCAGACGACATGCTGGCTATGGTCCATGCTATGACAAACAGCAGTGTTGGCTTAGGGCTTTTTGGAGCTAATCAACAGCTCAGCTGGTAATGTCCCTCTGTGCCTTTTTTGTTTAAGAAGAGCTTGAACTAATGATAGAATCTGTTTGTTTTCTGGTGGGGTGATAAATGCTGATAACAGAGCTGATAAATTCTCTGTTATCCAGGAGGGGAGGGGAGACCCCTCCCTAATCCTGCCTGGGTTTGGACACACCCCACTCAACTCAGCCCTGTGGAAGGGAAGCTTCTAGCCTGAGCCACTGCAGACATGTGTCGGCATGTCTGGGATGTCTGTGCAGTTACAAAGTGATTTAACCTAGCCAGGTTAGACTAACCTGCAAAGGTGGAATCAGTTCAGGCTCAGGCTTTTTGAATGCCTGTCCCTAGCCTATCTGGTTCTAAGTATAGCATGGACTAAAACTGGTGCACCAACTGGACCCCTCTGAGAAATATTTCTTTTTCAACTATTGCTTTAAAATTCTTTTTGAATAAGCATGGGATTTTCCAGAGAACCCTACACAGTTGAATATTACACAACACAGATAGATCCCTGATATCAGTTTTCAAAATCTATTTGTTTTCTTCTCCAGAAGTTCCATTATCTCTTGCACCTTATGGCAAAGTACAGATGGTTAAAAAGCCCAAGGCTGAGTTGATTCAAACTTCACAGGTTAGTCTGCATAGATTGAACTGATAAATAAATAAACAGGCATTCACTTTTGATTCTGGAAATGCAGCCAACATGCCTGCAGTGGCCCAGGACAGAAGCTGGGGGATGCCAGCTCCCTTGGCTGGAGCAGACAGCTTGGGGCAAGGCTAATCCACACACTCCATCAGAGGGGGTTTGCAGGGGGGTATGCAAAGCATCCTGGGATGCCGGGGGACTATGAGAACTTAAATCTGAAGGGGATTTGGGACAGAAGTTCCAATTAAACCTAGATCAGTTAAGTCTGATACTACATCTATCCAGGTTTCTCTTGAACAGTTTCAGCCATTTTGAAAGCGATTTATGTGCACTGAATTTCTGTTGTGTTATAGACTTGAACCAGTTTCCAATCACTTATACCAGTTGAAGTGTAATTGCTGTCCCTAGCCTATGTAGCTTCAGAGGAAGAGGCTGGATATGCCCCTTGGTCTGTAAAAGCATCATTCTAATCTGAATAGCAACACTCGGAGAGTGGTAATATTTACATTTACCAAAATATTCAGAATAAATATTTTAAAAAGATATTAAAACCAATGGGAAAATATCTTTAAAGTGTATTTATATTTCATAGTGTAAAAAATCCCCAATTAATAGAGTTCTACAGTTTTGCATGGGGAGAGTAATAAAGTATTCATACATTAAGAAACTGGCATTGAAATAAGATAAAAAAGGAGAACGATTTTAAGAAGAACATAGCCACTTACCTGTGACAGTAAAGTCTTTAGAGAGAGGAGACGTCCTTGACTGGCTGCCTCATGCAGTGGTGAACGATCTGCCCAAGAACCTACATAATAACAATGTTTACTGAATAAATTATGACAATTAGACTGATTTGGGATTCATAGAACAAAGCAGAAGTGGTAATGCACAGGAAAAAAAATCCTGTAAAATTTATTATTCCCAATTTGGACTAAATGTCTTAAAATTATTTCTTCTGAAACCGTAAGAAGTGGATAGTCTATATTATTAATATCAACTTCTTTGGTAATTCTGTGATATGAAAAAGAAAGCAGCTTCGTAGGGTATTTTTATTAGTGTATTTTAACAACTTCAGCTTTGTTCATTATATTTGTCCCCACCAGAGCCTTTTATACTATTTATAGTATTACAGTATTTTGTTAAATAGTAGGCATATAGCAATCTACCAGGTTCAACATAATAGATTGACTATTTAAAATAAAAATGAGGGTTACATGCCTTCAAAACAGAATGAAAAAATGTTGAAAGGCTATTATTCAACACATGATGATTTAAATGTTAATTTGAGTATGAGGAGGTCAAGAAACTGCTCTAAATCTACACAAGAAATTAAATATTTCTCCATAAAGTTCTCATGGTACAGGGCTGAAAGACCTAAATCTTTCCCTGGAGTCCAATTTAGGAGTTTGCGCTTGATGCAAAGAAGTTTCATAACAATTAAAAAATATCCTAGCTTCCACTCCAAGCCCTATAACCATACTGTTGCATCTAGTGCAACTCTTGAGTAGCCTCCAGTATTCAGCTTTTTACTGAAATGTCCCTTCATGTCCTACTTCAGGGCTGTCCAACTGGTGGTGCATGGCTCTTGTGAACCCACCCGGCCTCTCTTGTCCCCATTACTCCAGCTACAGTAGCAGCAGATCTAGTCTCTGGGCTTCCCACAGAGATGTAGTCTTTATGGCTTCCACTCCCTACTGCAGCCCCAGGGAGCAGCGTGGTATAGTATGGCCCAGCCCACCATCGGAGGATCCCATAGCCTTGGGCACCAGTGCAGCACGGTGCAGTGGTGGAGTCTACAGCTAATGAGATCAAAGTGAGGTTGTGGCACCCAGATATGTGGTGCAGCAGGAAGAGCGGAGCGTCCACACCTGCTGTGTAGTGGGAAGGGGTGCCTGGGGTTACATCAGAGCAGCCCATGCAGTGTGTAGCCCCCCGCTGGTGTTGCCTATAGGGAGTTTAGCCCCTGGATGCTTAAGTTGGATGGCCTACAATTCTACTGCAGGGGATTTTCCAGAGAACCTTATACCATTTAATTCTATAATACACAGGTGTCAAGGATTCCTGATATCATCTCTCAAATCTATTTGTTTCCTCGTTAGGTAAAAATAACTGCCTCTTGACCTCTCCCCACCTACTGAGAAAAAGGCAAGATTTGTAAATCGGAAGCAGTAATTAGAACCCATTTTCTTTATACATAAATTGGAGCTGATGCTCAAGTTTTGCCAAGTGTATGCTCATTTCTTATCAAATTAAGAAAGGCCATTAGTAGAGAAGTAAATCCTGCCCCCAGTTTTAGTCAAAGAGGGACACAGCAGCAAAACAAATTCAGTTCTGTTGCACTAATGGAAGCACCTACCAGGATTTCTGTAATGTCTGTAGTCTAGACATTCTTTTCATCAAGCTAGGAAGTCAATGTCTGTCTTAAGATAAGAAGGCTCTACAAATCAATTGCCTTTTTATAATGCTAATGTGATGTTGTTACCATGAGACTTAAGGAAGGATTCTGTGATACCTAAAGGCTTTCTTATGTCTGCACCAATTATAGAGTTGGTCCAGCAAAAGATACCATCCACAAGAATTCTTGTACCTCATCACAGTTTCTACAAAGAAATACTGTAGCTTACTAGTCTATGAGACTTCTTTTTAAGTGTCATTGAAGTAGTGGATAATGTTGAACCAGTTTACTTAATTGACAAGACTCCCCCTCACAAGAGACTGCTAAAGAAACTAAGTAGTCACTGGGTAATGGATTATCACAGATCATAAATCAATGGAGAGACAGAAAATTACCAGCAGGCATAAATTATCAACTTTTGTGATAGAAATGGGTAAGCAGCAGAGATGTCTGCAGATATTATACTAGAACCAGAGTTTAATTTATTAACAATCTAGGACCTGAACAGCAAGGGGGCAAAATACATCAGTAACATAAAAATCAAGAGTTTAGAAACTGATTCAAGTGTTCAACCAAAGGGATTAGGAAAGGACTCCCTTTCTGGTACAGCATCCAATATCAACCTTATGTGATTCCTTGTACCTTCTTTTGAAGCAACTGCTGCAGCCCATGGTCTGAAATATGATGTTGGATTAGAAGAACTAGAATTGATCTGGTAGGGCAATTTCTGTATTCCCATTAAACAGTCCATACTCAATGTTATTCTAGCTGAATAATTTCCAATCACTTTTGAAAAACATCCTCTCTGTATTATTGATTTAAGGTTAATGGAACATAGTTTGCAATTCTTTTTAAAAAGACTAGCTATTTTAGGTGCTTTCATTTTTGAATAACTAACTTGATTTCTCTTGGAGAGTCCTGATTTTCAGAAAGTACTGAGCACTCATCTCCTTGAAACTTAAGCCCCTTTAAAACTATTTCAAATCTGGCATAGGCAATTACTACTCAGTTTTGAAAATCTTGGCCATCATTTTCATTTCCCTTCTGCAAAATTTTAACCAAAACTAATGACTCAAGCTCACAAAAAATTATGCCCATTTTTTTTCCTTTTAGCTGCAAGTGATTGTGAAAAAGGAAATTGAAAACCCAAATTTAGAGGCTGCTTTTGAAATTTGGGCTTTATCTCTTTACCTCTCTGTGGAAGAGAATCCCTCCCAACCTTTCTTGGTAATTTATTCTATTGCCAAACTAAAATGAAAAAATGAAGGAAGTATTGCCATACTGTGGGAAAAAAAGCAGACAAATCTCTACATTACCGAAGCATTTAATATATTAAAATAATTACAAAAGATTTCTGATTGGCTGCTAGTACCCTAGACTTCTGTGTCCAGCTGTAACTCAAACAAAATATAAGAAGTGCTGGTTTAATCTTATTCTGAGACCCATATCCTCATCCATCTTTTCTCCCGTCACCTCCCTCCTTCACATGTGCCTTCTTGGATAGCTCAGGAGAATGCCTGCTAATGTCATTACTTCAGTGACATGTGAGAATCAAATGATGCTAGATCACATTCCAAGTTCTATTTTGCTCCTAGGCCCTCCCTATACTCTGACCTAGTACCAAGAAACATGGCAGCTGCATTAAATTGCAATTGCCTTCTTTCTAAAAGGCATAGTTAAAATAACTGCAGAAAGATTCTGTACAGGTTGTATTTAGAAAAAAGTTTGTACTTTTCAAAGGAACAAATCCTGCTCTCACTTATCTAGAAAGTGATAACAAAAACACACATGGGTAAGTTTGCTAATTCAGTGATATTTAAAAGCAATATTAGCAAATGTATTCTATTGAAAAACTATTAAGCTGTTAGGTCCCTACAGTCTCTGATGCTGAACACAGAGTACCTTCTCCATAATTAGAAACAACATTCGTCCCAATATAAATTACAAGGAACAACAGCCTGCACTTTTCTATAAACACTAGAGAGATAGGGTAAAAAAAAGTAGTCATACTATTAACAGACAATGACAAGGAATTGATACAAATCTCATACTGTACCTAGATCTCCATCTCCCCATGGCACTTCCAGGAAAGTGTAAGTATAAATCTTACTCATTTCTTTTACTATAAAAATAAAAATCTGTCCTACTAGCAGGGCTTGTTCTTAATACACATCAGCCATGTTTGGAAGGAGATCAGCAGCTAAACTTAATATGAACTTTCACCTGTAAAACCTCTGCAGTAAACACAACTCTAAAGTCATGAGCTTATGCAGTCACCAACTTCTTTTCTTATTAAACAGTACCAATTGCCCTTTAGTATAACTACATAAATGTCAACACACTGTGAATATGGATTGCTTTCAGTGGAGTATCCTGCATCCTGGCACAAGTGAAACCCACAATGAAAGCAATGAGAGATTTGCTTGAATAAGGACTAATATTGGTCTCATAAAGTTAGTCTAATAAAAGATACTGCATCTACCCAAAGAACTGTGCCTGCCTTGAATAAGGACTGAATAAAAATATTTTCTCAAATCATTATAAAAGCAGAGCCTTGTTAGGGAAGATAAAGGCTGTGTTCACACGGGCTGTTTTATTATATGCCAGTAATTCTTTTAAATACAAAAAATCCTATTTTTGAACTTGTGTCGAGTCTTGCTTACATTGGTAGATTGAACAGGATCAGGTACCTTATTTTTTAGCTATCTTGTTGCAGCTCATAGTTCTTAATAAATTTCAGGCTGTTGAATTGGGTTGTTGATCTGCAATTAGTATTATTTTCCCTTTTCTAATTTAAAAGTTCAAACACAAAAGCAGATTAGTTTTTTAAGGAAATCAATTTGAAACTTTTTTTTGTTTGATATACCAATTTAAAAAAAACAGTTCAGCTGATGCCAAAATTATTATCTTCATTCTTATAGCACATGCAGAATATTAGTCACAGGACAAAAACATTTCACCTTGGAAAGCTTATAATATAGTAACCAATTTAAAGAGAAAGTATTATTGTTTTCCAATGGATTCTACTATAATTTCTAAATAAGGTAATCATATTTCCCTAGTTTCAAAATGGGATACCCTGCTTTCTGACACAATCAGCTGTCTCTGAGCCTCACTCTTAGCTAAGTACATTCAAGAGCAGGGGAGGGGGTGTGGTCCCATTTAAACTCCAGTTCGGGGCATCCCACTGAAAAAAGGACAAATGCAGTCATTTGACAAAACTAATGGGACACCTGGGACAGGTGTTTAGAACAGGATGGTCCCAACAAAAACTGGATTTATGGCTTCCCTCCTATGCTAAGTGGTTTTCATAAACATTTCTAATAAATGTCTTTTAAAGGAAGTAAATTTTAAACAGATGCTTATGACGATGTCCAAATTATATTTTTTTCTCTTTAAAAATAGCAAACAAAAAAATTGAAAGTAAAGTAGGTCTTAGCTTTATGAAAAAAATGACACAAGTAGCAATTTAAAAGCAGACAGCCACAGAACTGGAAAACACATCACTACAAATGCTTATTTAGGGCCTGGTTTAAGAACCAATCATTGGGAATCTTTCTATTGCTTTTAACAGGCTGTATGATTGTTCCTCATCTTATCATTCTTATTTTGATATTGGACTCAGAAAATATAGTCTGTTATTTTGTTTTATATTTTATTAATATTTAGTACCTAAATATAGATTTCCCACTATCCTGACAGGGTTTCCGCTGCTGTCCTGATAAACAGAACACTTGAATGAACACAGCAAATTTTAGTACAGAGGCTACAGAGCTCATCTGCTATAGACTTATTCTGTCACCTTTGGTTTAACACTCAGACCTCATGTTTCTCTTTTAATTTTTTTTTCTGATTTCATTCCATATAAGAATATTTTGCATCTTAGCACAAGATCATGAATTTATCCTAACATATTCAAAATGGGTAGCAGAGAGTAATCAAGGCTCCACCTTCTTCCCATCCATGTGTATCCACATGACTTGGAGGAAAGGAGCTGCCTATTGAAGCTTCAGTCCCTACTGTGGTGTGAATCCATGGTGGGATAGCTCAGACAGGGAAAACAAGGCATCAATCTCAGGTCATGATTTGGTCCATAGGTTTTTCTAACAGAGTATCTCAGTCACTTCCCAAGCATTAACAAAATCTACAATAACCTGTATTATTACACCTATTTAGAAAAAAACACAGTTAAATAAACTGAGGCATAGGCAGCTGGTCCAAGATCATTCAGAAAGGCTGCATAAACAGAAAAGAAAAAATACATATCCTGATTCCCAGTCCCATGCTTTAACTATAAGATTATCCTTCCTCTACCCATTACTACCCCTGAATCCTTCATGCTATTTTCAAGAAGATGGACTTCTTCTGGGTCAGGATATTTAGGTGTTCTGGTTAAATTTCCTTAGTCAAGCCAAACTAAGAACTCATACAGGCATTGAGTTTCTTCTGGAAGAGTTGCTGCTCTCCCAGGCAAAACCATAAGTATACAGACATTCAGGATTTTTCTTCCAAAGCAAAAATGGTTGCTCCAGGAGGAAAAAAACCTGGGAACAACCAGGGTTAAATCACTCCCAGTGGGAGAGTGAATGCCTGTACATGCAGTGGTGGCTTCTCTCAGAACAGAACCATAAACTCCAGCATCACTCTCCTCCCTGGGAGATACTGTCACTTGCTGGACTCTGCTGCTCCAGCAGGGAGCAAAACATGCCCCCTTTACAATCCCATACTGTGCTTCAGGGAAACATAGGGACTGCATCCAGATGAGTAGGGGCATACGCTTGCAGTGGCACAAATAGTAGCAGCACAAATTTGTGCTGCTACTTTGTGCTGCAGCACACGCCCCTGCACATGCGCTTTTTTGTGAGACGCATTGTTTGCTGTGGGAAAACTGCCCATGCCCAGCTCCCAGTGTGCTGCTCCAACCAGGCTCTGTGTGCTGTTGGGGGCTGGGACTTGACAGAGCACAGGGTGCCTTGGTGTGGGGTTAGCTAGCAGGCAGCCCCCAAGCTGAGGCACCCTACATCCCAGCCAGCCAGGGAGCAGCAAACAGATGGAGGAATAGGCTGCCCAGGGCTTTCCCTGTCTCCACATGCTGTGGAGACCCAGAGCTGAGGCACATTATGCCCCAGCCAGCCACTCTGTACTGAGTACAGTGTGGCTACCAGAAATCCTGGTAGCAAATTTTGCCTATGCGCTGCAAATTAGCAGCACCGTGCACAGTTTAACATACAATGTGTGTGGCTTTTAGCATCAAAAAGGTTTGTTGTGCCATAAACCACACATGCCCGCATGTATGGAGACAGACAGGGTGACCATGGGTAGTCTAGGCCGGCCAATCAGCGCTGCCCTAATGCACTGCTGCTATCTGTCATCAGGCAGACTAAGGGGGCCTGCAGAGCACCTTGAGATATGTACATATGGGATCTGTGTAAGTTTTTTTTTTTTTTTACTAAAAGAACAAACCTGCGACAATTTTTCCAGATTATCTGAATGTGTGTATGCAGCTTAATAAGTTTCTGTGCTTCAGCCGTAAGAGATGGCATCATGTCCAAAACTTCTGAATCCAGGGACACCTGGTTTCCCAAAACATGAAGTTCTGAGGCTCTTGCCCATTTCTAGTCTTGACCAATTTATATATATATTTTTTATGTTTCCCTAGTACCCTCATTACCTCACATCCATCTGCAATTATCTGTGAGACCACAGCTATAGTCTTAGTAGTAGAGCAATCTTATTTAGTTAATCTATCCTTTGTGGGAACACATTAAAATTTAGAGTAGTGTTGAAGTAATATTGTAGCTGTGGTCGTTCAGAAACTATGCTAGAAGCAAAGTTTTTTGTGGGTGATGTCTTTTGTTGGACTAACTGCATGGCTTGAATAGACTTAGATAAACTACTCTCCCAGAGACCTGGGGAAGGCAAAATCTGCGAATAAGGCATTGCGTTTATGAATGCAGTGCCCCCTGTGGCTGGGAGGTGGCAGACCAGCGATGGCAGAAGCGTGGTGGCGATGGCTGGAGTGTGGCAGCAGCAAGCGTGGAGCTCCCAAGGAGCTCCTGTAAGTGCATAAAGTGTGTTTAAAATGCGGGTTTGGCATTTGTGAATATTTGAAACTGCGAATGCTGAACATGCGAATAGCAAGGGTTTCCTGTATAGTCAAAATTACAACTTCTTAAAACATTTAAATTTAAAAAATATATGTTGAATCTATGAGTATGTATTAAAAACTTTAAGTTACAGGTTGAACACACTTCTGCATAGAGTGAATTGTGTGAAAACACCTATCAAGGTTGAGCTTTATCCATATGGAACAGTGCTTCATTCTATAGGTGACCCAAAGGCTGTAATTCTGTATGAAAGAGAGCAAAGCCATTAGATATGGAATCACAATCATTTCTTTAGGATCCACTGATTTTCCCCCTGTAGTTTGACAGCTTTATTTTATATCTTCTCTGTAACTGGGATCTGATTTTATATGCTAAATTTCATACACTTTTTCATATATTTATTTAAATTTCATTACCATCCTCATGTAACAGCTTTGCAGAAATCATAAGCAAAATATTAATTATCTAGCAAATAAAAACATCATTCATATTTTCTAATATTCTAAAAATGTAAAATTAATCAGAATCTGGAAACATTTACAACAAAATATGAATATGACTATTATATTAACATTGATATAATTGCTGAAATAATTAATATAGTCAGGTATATTCTCCAATGTAGCAAAAAGTTCTAAAAAGACACAAGTCGTGTGTAAAGGTTCTATTTAGATGTGAATTTACGTATTCTAGTGGCGATGTCAACCAAGGCTAATAGTAAATAGTAATTGCAAATAGCAGAAATGGAAAAGTTGATTACAATCAATTATTTAAATCAAGACTTTCCATTTACTGATTTTACTTATGAATTAAATTACTTATTTAAACTGCCTTGATTTAAACCAGGGGTTTTAAACATACAGCTAGTGGGCCAGACTTGGCCTGTGGAGCCACATCATCTGGCCTGCAGGGCTCTTAAGGGGCCCAAGAATTTCAGAGCAGGGTGTGCTACAGAAAACCAGGATATGGAGCCCTATTGGTGACAGGGTCAAATGGTGGCTATGTGAACACTTGCAGCTCCCTGAAACTGCTTGCACCCACTTCCAGTGGGTCCATATCCAGCCCATGAGGAATCCCATTGTTTGGACCTGGTCCAGGGGCCCAAACCAGCTTGATGCTCTGATTTTAGAGGTGCACCAACAGAGAATTTTCGGGCTGATACCGATGGCCAATTTTTAATGGGCCGTATCGGCCTATATCGATCCAATTCCAATATGCAGCCGGGCAGCATGGAGAGTGGTGTCCAGCTGGTAAGTCTGTTGTGGGGCAAGGGGGAAGGAAAGGGGTGGGGGGGCAGACTGAAGCACCCACAGTGAGCGTGGGAGTGGGGCTGGGGCAGGGGCTATGCAGCCAGGACGGGGTGCAGGATGGAGCCGTGAGTGGCTCGTCTGCCGTGTGTGGGGGGCTGCTCCCACCATTGCATGCACTCTGGGAGGGCACTAGGACTGTGTGCCCCTGGATCTGCACACGAGGCAAGGGTGGGCTGCTGCTGCAGGCTGGGGTCAGGGTGGTGCCAAGCTCTTCCCGGTGGGGGGTTAGGCTGGTGCTGCACTCAGAGCGAGCAGCGGTGTTGCTGGGAAGGGGGCTATGCAGGGGGGGCTGCAGCCACTCCAAAATTTGCCATAGCCCCCCAAACCTCCTCCCAGTGCCACTCCCACCCACCCTGAAAGCAGTCCCAGCCCAAGTCCCACCCACCAGGAAGAGCCTGACGCTGCCCCGGCCCCAGCACACAGCAGCAGCCCTCCCACACCCTCCATGCAGATCCCAGGGCCTTGATCTGCCCACCCTCCCACACCGCATCCCTCACAAAAGACTTACCAGTTGGACCCGACTGCTCTCCACCCTACTAGGCTGCACTCCTGCCTACCTACATGCTGCGCCGTGGCTGCGCACGTGCACAGGGCATTTATCAATGGCATTATCGGCCACATCAGCCAAAAAAAGCCAATTGCTGATACTGTCAATTTTCCTTATATCGTTGCTGAACCGATATGGCATCAATGTATCAGTCCACATCTACCTGATTTAAACCATTCTACCCCAATACACAACTTCCCAGGCTCAGAAGAAGATAATACAGTATAAGAATATAGAAAAATAAGTCTCCTTCATAGTTTATTAATACAGGTTAAAGTATATAATACTAGGGGTTCTGGAGTCAACAGTTCTCCATATGTAACTAACAAGTAAATGCCAGGCACAGAATTAATACTGTCGCATGTTTTAGTTTTATTGTCTAGAAAAAAATGTATTCTTTTTAGTATGTAGCAATATTAGGAGAAGCTGCAAATAAAAGCAGTGACTACAGCAGCACCACTGGGGTTTGCAGTTATGCTCTTCAATAGAATTTAATGATATCATACTGTAACAGGGGGCCTGCTCAGGGCCGCTTTTCCTGCAGCCTGCCCACCTGTTCCTGGGCTAACTGCCTGCGTTCTCTCCCGCCATGCCTTGATGTTAATTAGTTAAATAGATGCAATTAAGCAGGAGGCTGCCCATTTTCTGCCCCAATGCCAAGGGGTGCTATCTGAGGCTCCTTTCCTCCCCTACACCACAGCCCAAGCTTCGCAGATGGCATTTCAATGTTCCTTTAATCACCGGCCCCCACAGTGGGCCCCAGAATCCTCCTATTGAACCCCACCTGGATTCTTCTTCCTCAAGCAGCCTCTTCCACCGTCATACCAGGCAGCATAGCTTCCTGAGCTGGTTCCCCTTCAGGTGTGGTCCCCCCACTGAGACCTTCGGCTCATCTAGCCCTGGCCCACTTTCAGGCCAGTCAGGACCCCAGGCCCTCAGCTCTTGGGCGTCCCTCACGGTGGGCCCCTGGCCCTTCGATCCTTCCGGTCCTGGCCCCAGCATGGGCCAGTCAGGGGAAACTCAGACAGGCCTGAGTCTATGGCCCTTTTTTCATTCTCTGAGGGTCTACCATCTGGGCCCTCCAAAACAAGGGGTAACCCACCCAGTTGTGGGGGCTAGGGGTTAAGGCGCCCCGACCCGCCTTTCACTGGGGTGGTAACTGGCCTGGCATTTCCTGGGGGCTCCCACACCACTGGGAGCCCCACCAGGCCACCCACTCCCAGCAGGGTGCAGTTTTAGGTCATACCCAGGACCAGGAGCCTCCTGTCCAACCCCTACAGCTCCTCCCTTACCTCCAGATAATAACAGCAGCCCTCCAGCCAGGTGATGTTATTGCCTGGCCCCTAGCAGAACTGCCTTGTTTATATGGGCAGCCCTGATTCTAAAATGGCTGCCCTAATGAGGCACCTGGCAGCTGCCAGCTCCAGGCCCTTAAAGTGGTAGGCACCCACAGTGCCCTGCCACAATACTGATGTAACTATTGGTTAAATTTGGTTCAATATACAGACATTTTGGGGAAGCACTGTGACATATAACAAATAGTTCATACAGTGGAGTCACATCTTACACAGGGGTTAACTTCTAAAGTCAGCACGTAAGGCAAAAATCGCATATAGTCAAAATTACCCTTGGGCTTGCCCAGTGGTACAGTCCGCTCCCCCCCCCATCCAGGGGTACAGTCCCTCCTTCCTGCCCGGCCAGCGTGCACAGCTTCCCAGCAGGGCTGCTCCCAATGTAGCTGCTTGGCCCCATGCACAGCGCTGTGGGGGGCAGCTGCAGGCTGAATCCAAACAATCGGCACTCTGGGGCATAAGCGTATGATGAATTCACGTAAGTTAAATGCGTGTATGATGCGACTCCACTGTTTTCTTCTTACGTGTTTACATAAATTTATCCAAAATATCTATACAAGTGGTTCTCAACCTTTTTTAGACATGAGGCAACTCTGATAGACTCAAGGGACCCCTTGGAAAACGCCAGCTCTTCAGTTTCACTTTTTTTTCTTTGCTACAAATAATACAACAATTATTCTGTTGCAAAAACTCAGAAAGACCACAACAGATCAGAATGTTTTTAATGCTGTGGATTCCTATTTCAAATATCTGAGCTTATTATATGTATCATGTTTGCACACCTAACAATGCATGACATCCCATGGACCCTTGAAAGCATCTGAAGGTATCCTTGGCACGCTGGTTAAGAATGACTGATCTATATGTTACAAAGTTTCAGTGTGTATTACCAATGAGCATGTTATAAATATTATTAAATAGGTACACTTGAAGGAATTAGCAAGTTTTCTTTCATTCTTCAGGAAAATGTAGAATTTCTGCTTGCATACTTGAAATCTCAGACGTAACACTATCAAAGGTTATTTTAAGTGACATTATTTTAAGTATACCACATATCTTTACAATTTGTAGCTGTATTTTAATACTTTTACGCCAAATAGAATTAATGATTTAATTTATTGATCCCTCCATTGTTTCCAACATGTATATTGACGGAACACTGAACATTTTCCATTTCCCTTTTTCTTCACTATTTCAACTATTTTTCTTCACTATTTCCATTTATAAATGATTACCAATTTATTTCCTAAAAGTGATACTGCAAAATGCTGATGTCCTTAATTCTCTTCATCTTACTTAGACTCAAAATAGGGTATGATCACTATTTCTGAAAATATTCTAATCCTATGCTTATGGTACTCAAAGGTACCTCTGATATTTTTTCCCCTCTAATTTCTTCTTTACGTAGCATGTAAGAAAACAGTTCTATAATATTATCACCATGTTCTCATGACTATTGTTCTAATTATTCTTCTTTCTTTCCCTGAATAAATATTCAGGTAATTTATGCACACATTATTTCTATTTTTCTTATTTTCATAAATAGTTTTCAAATTTTACATCACTGCTGTTACCTCTCTACAGGCAATCTGTGGCAAATCCTTATATTAACACACTTCATTTAAACCTCAGCATAAGATTAAGTGGTTCTGTCACCTGTAGTTCCTTCAGGATTTCCTACCTCGCTTACCTCCAAATTTAGAAATCACTCCTCCCCTTCCATTCTCTGACCTCTTGTAAACAATCAGCCATGGATATTACGTTACACTGACTTTTGCTTCCATGCTAGAATACATGTTAAGTCTTGAACACTCGGAAACAAATACAACAGATAAAGAAGTGAAGTACTGCAGAGGAGTTCAGAATACTGCAAAATGTACAGTCAATAACAACAGCTGCAGTATTTCTGTATTAACCCACCCAAGTATAATACAGTAGCACTAATTCATATACACATACATTTATATTACAGATAAGATTACTGGACAACATTCCGTTTAAAGTTAGCACATTGCAAACTGGGTCAATTTAGCATATTTCAGTACGCCACCAGCTTGTGAAATGGCTGCTATACTAACCTTGGCTGGTCAGAATACCCCAGCTAGCTTTTCGTTTCGCAGGACACTCCCCTATGCTTTCTAGGCTTCTTTTTGAGAGATTCTGGTTAGAGCAGCTCCTCTGAATAGCAGTATTTGTGGTCATAATTTGCTATTTTTTTCTCCTGCAAAGCCTGTGTGTCATCAGTGCAGGTGCTCGAGTCTGACAAAGATCCACAACTTGATTTCCAGCTACTTTTTTGCCCTTTCAGGTTTTCACAAAGGATCTTGTTGTACTTACTGTAGCATGGCTACAACACTGAAATCCATTCAGTAACATTTACTAGCTTGGACTAGTAGGTACACAGTGGGGGAAGGGAAGGATTGCTCTAGCATTTTCTATTTTTAAAACAGGGAAAGAATCAGCTTAGCTACGACAGAAGTCTTAACTATTTACATGATTTAAATGGAAAGAAGGTGTTTGGTTTGTTATTTAGACCAGAAAGGAAACTAATTCTTTAAAAACCCACATGTATTACATTTTAACATGCAGCTTGCAAACCAAACAATTTATTATAGAAAAATTTAAACTGTGAGTAATAAAAGAACTATGGTTTTGATAAATGATAGCCTTAACAAGTGAACTACTCCCTCCATCCCTCCCCCATCAGAATAAATGCTGCATCAGAACAGCTTTCAGTCATCTACAATTGTGCATTTTGTAGGCTACTTTTTGCAGTAGGGAACAATCCAGAAATGCAGTATTTTACAATAATGTAGGTTGGGTTTTTTTAAGATGGAAATTAGAAATTACTTCTTCAACTTCCTCATAAAGTGATACTTCACTCTGACAGCAGAAACTAAACTGAAATGATTATTTGAGAGCCTTGTCCGGACATAAAAGTAAGGTTGTAATCATTTCACATAGACCCAAGTCATTAATTTTTAAATGAGAGTAAATAGGAAAAAGGGGAACAAAGTTAGAGCAATATTCCTTTTTGCTTGTTACTGTGCACTGGCTTGTAATGCTGGATACAAATCTGCATGGACAAGCAAAGTGAAGAAACTGATCCCTGATAAAATTACACTGTGGATTATTTAGAATAGAGATCTTCTTACAGTAATCACATGTTGGCCTCTTTCTTTTAAAAAAATCCTCTTTTCTCACAGGCCTGTTTTCCTAATGTACAAACCTATTCTGAATGTGCAGAATTCTTCAAGATTTTTAAAAGAAATCAGTACTACTGCTTTATCTGAATATTCTGCCTTTCACAAGTGAACTTCAAAGCACTTGGCAAATAAAACCACTTAACACTCAAAACACCCCAGGGAGGCTGAAACATGCCTGAATTCTCAAAAAAAAAATACAGATTTGAAAATAATCAACAGATCAGCCAATCACAGTCTTATATCAAACATAGAACTATATATTTCCTGAATTATCACAATACAACATCACTTCCCCGCTACATTTAATGTTGGTCTCTCTTCCTTATAATTCCCTCAAACGGAACTCCCAAGGAAATAAAAAGGTAAGGGCTGGATTATAAGAAGCTGGGACAAGGAGGGCAGAGGGCGGGGGAGAAGGAATCTTGCACACCTAAATAAAATAGTAGCTGTAACCTTGTGACATGCATTCTCAGTACAAAAAGGCCAGGATGTTCACCCCAAATGACTGTGCAGTTACCCAGAAGGAAATGAAAGTGAGAGGGACTAATCAGTCAATGCTAGCAGGAGAAGCTAGGAGAAGTGCATGCTTTCCTTTTCTTACCAGTGTAGTAGCTCCTGCTCAGATGCTTCTCCTCAAATGTGTGCTGACTGAATTAACCAAAATTGCTCAGGTTCTCTCACCAAAGCTGAGTGCCCCACATACCACAGTTATAGGCACTGACTCAAAAAGCCCAAATAGAGCCTTCTATCTGCAGGAAGGGATTTGCATTATAAATAATTCTTATTAAAGTTTCTTAAATTCTTATTATCCTTCAATCTTCAATTATCTGTTAAAGGATATTAACAAGAAACTATAGTGATATTTAAATTATATTTATGAGTGTCAGTTCCATAGATACTGGGATTTTTTTTATGAGTCAGAAAAATAGTTACAATCAATTAAGTTCCCCATCCTCCAATACACGGGGACTCTTCTGACTTGCAAAGCCAGAAAGGACTGAGAGTTTCCATTTGGATGGAATCCCAGGAGGAGCAGGCCCCCTGAGTCAGTTTCCCATCTGTGATGGTGTGGGTGGGGCTTGCAGGGCAAGGGCTATTGGCTGGGAGGGAAGACATGTCTTCAATGGCTTTTAAGGGAGTTGTGAGTGCACTGTCAGCAGAGTGAAGTTGGATCCCTTCTCAGGGACTTATCAGGTAATCGTGTTAGCCTGTTTTCCAAAAAGGTTCTAACCTTGTGATGCATTAGATAGGATGTCATCTGCAGAGGTAGTAAGCAGAAGCATTCAAGTCAGTTGTCATTATCTAGAGAGAGAATACAGTGAGCTTCTGCTTCAAAGGGGAGTCAGACATGCACTGCTTCCCCTCCCAGAAAGAACCGGGGCAGTGACTACAGAGAAATTGTGTGGCTAAAGGGCAAAAGCTACATAGATGCTATGAAATGCATCTTTCAAAATTGGAATCATGCTTTTTGTAAAGAAAATATATAATGTATTACCTAAGAAGATCTATTATAAGGTAGATAGACAACTGGTTCAAAAGCCACAAGCAGAGTAGTTATAAATGGATCCATTTCAAAGTAGCAGGAGGTTTTGAGTGGAGTTCTACAGGGGCCTAGAATTGCTCAGTGTGTTTATTAATTATCTGGATGCTGAAAGAGAGAGCTTCTTGAGCAAATATGCAGATGACGAAACCAGGAAGAACTGCAAACACACTGGAGGACAGAAGCACAATTCAGAAGTATCTTGACAGACTGTAAAGTTTGGCTGGAGCTAACAGAATGCAATTCAGTACTGACAAATGCATGGCACTACATCTTGGAAAGAATAAACAAAAACAAATACAAAATGGGTGATAACCGGCTGGATGGCAATACTACAGAGAGGGATCTAGAAGTCTTGGTACTGAGTCTGTGGTATAAAACAGCTGCACAATAGGCAAATACAGTCTCAGACTACATCAAGAGGAGCATTAGATACAAGACATGGAACGT